TTATTATTGTGTATGTGTATGTATGAGTGTTTTGAGAATATTGTGCCTACTTCATCATGAGAGATTGGATGATTACATTTGATCACATGTATAGACAAGCAAATAGTTACACTAATTTCTGAGCCATAGATCTTATTTAAAGAACTTTAATATTTTGATCTTAAATGAACCACCGAATAATTGTAAAAGCCTTCTGACTTTAGATATGACTAGGACTTAATCTTTTTGCAAGGTTTGTCGTGGCTTTTGTATTAAAAAAAATATATTGTGCCCATTAAGAGGCTTGTTTGACTTATCTTGAATTAAAAATATATCTCTGAAACTAACTAGCATGTTTGGCTAGGGTTTAAACTTATATATTATTTTTGTTTCTTTTTAAGCATGCTTGTATATATTATTTAATGCATTGTATTGTGTAAATGGTTATTTATGAGTACTCAAATCCTTTTGAGCATACTTTCTAATAATTGAAATACTATAAGCAATATGTTTTACTTTGTTCAAGTATGCTCGTGTGTTTTGGAACATCATGAATGTGATTGGATTGTATGAAATTTAAAGGAGGATATGATTTTATTATTTTGGCCACATGATAAATCACCACTAAGGATACCGTGGTTGGCATTTCTTATGAAAGGCCCTTTCTTCTAGTTTGGGGTTGTGAGATATTGGGTACCTCCTTTTAAGGAAGGGAATATAGCCTTGTAGGCAAGCACTTTTGGTTGGATATATTACCAAGCTAGACTCTAGCTAGCACGATGGGATGGATGAGAGGCATAAGGGAAGGTCAAGAATGACATTAGTTGTTGTATAATTTTTTTAATATACTTTTGGTTTGTAAAAATGGTATTTCCTAATTTGTAAATTTATTTGTGACATAGTATTACAAAAAATATTATGTGCATAAATAAATATTGCGAAATAAGATTTTAAACTAGTTTGATAATGTATTTAAAATTTTCATTGTTACTGAGACGTTTGATCTCACATGTTATCTCTTATATTTTTTTAGGTGAGGATATTGGTATGATAGAAGGAAAGGTGTTGGAGAACTGAGCCTATGGGCTTTTGTTTGATGGCTTTACACATGTCATTTGTTTATTATTTTGCCATAATTTAGGAGAATTTTAATATTTACTTGAAGCTAAATAACTTTTAAGTGATTTGATTATTCTTTTAAAAATATCTATATTTAATTTGGTTACATTTTGAGGATCTAAATTGAATGGAAGTTAAAATATGTGTTAAGCCCCTATATAATATCAAAATATTTTTCAAATAATTTTTATGTCATTTGACTTTTATATAAAGATAATTTGAAACTTTGATTGTCTTAGGTCCATTTGTTTGTATATCTTTGGGATCCCAATGTTTTATCTTGAATGTTTTTATGATAATAATTTAAGAAAAAATGTTTTTAAATGAGTGTTACATTAAACATAAGTTAAAAAGATTATCTATAAAATACAAAAAGCATGTCAAAATTCATTAAAGAAGGATATAAAATCAAGAAATAGTTCAAAACTAATTAAGTGTATAATGCTTACATATGTGTCATTAGCTTAAAAATCAATGAGATACTATGTGCATAACATAACAATGAGCAATCCAAAACTTTGATTGTTGAATAACGTTAATTAATCAAGAGTTTGGTTATTGCTATCCCATTCTCCTAATAAAAGCAACAAGCATAAGAAGCTTTAATGTTCACAAGGCAAATAATAACCTACCATTTCAATCAACGCACGAAACAAAAATTAAAGAGGGGGGGGGAATGGGGAGAATTGTTGAAAGATTTAAATAAGACATATAAGATCACATATTGAAAGATTTTAATAATGAAACACTTTGAAGGAGCAAAGTTATTTAATTTTGTTTAATGTAAAGCATGTCATCATGAAATAGTACAAAAAGCTAAGTATTGATCTTGTTTATAGTCGTTCCATATCTTCAACAAGAGAGAGGGTAAGATTACTTGCATTAAAAGAAAGAATGAATTGAAAATTCATATATCAGAATATGCAGATTAATTCTTACTATCAGCATGATCATACTAAAATGTCAAACATTCCATCAACCTATTAGGCTTGGAAGTTAGGAAAGGTAACAGAATCAAGCAAAAAACAAATAAAGTAACAAAAACAATAGAGATCATCGGGAAAAAAGCTAAATGTAGACATGGCAAGAACGTTTCTTAGATGCATTTGCCAACTTCAAACATCTAAAATTGCATGCCAAGAACAAAATAAAGGGTTTAAACAGCTACAGCAGTATGCTTTAGCAGAGAAAAAGCCAAATTTGAGAATATATCAAGACTCAACAATGAATTATCCTATAAAGTTCAATGCTTGAAGATCATATATGTAATACATGAAGCAATGTAATCATAGTGCTTAAAGAACCATAAAGCTTTCCCTTGCATATCTCCACACACTGCTAAATTAAAGGAATAAAAGATGGTTTATGTAGCTAGGCCATGCTGCTGCTGCTGCAGCAGCAGCTGCAACAACAACAACAACATTTTAAAGTGAAAATTGGTTAAAAAGAAATTGAGTTAAAAAAATCATGGGATAGATCAACCGGTTAGAATAGGAAACAGAAAAGTGAAAATTGTGAAGTGGAACAGCAACTAATGAGCAGAATTAACAATCATTTTATAACCTTCATTCTTGTATCGTCCAGTAAAGAATATAACAAACATATTTCGAATGTTCTAAAAACTAAGAGGCTTCTTCCAAATTTAGAAATGAGAATAATTTAAACAAAAATTTCAAATTATCAACAAAATCCCATCAATCAGAAGTGAGCCACCTAACCTGAATAACCAAAGCAAAGAGATATTCAGATTAATTAAAACATGCAACAGGACTCGTATAAAGTTCAATAAAACATTTGCTAATTTATTCCTAACGATGTACCTATGTTATCATAATATTACACTTAATTGATCTTGTTTGATAGTAGCTTCGTAAATTAAATCTTAAAATTAAGTTTTTACTCCATGCTTAATCCTCAATATGCAATTCCCTGAGCCTACTTCCTTTCAAATTACATAACCTTCCAATCGGTAGTGAATATAACAATATGATTTGAATATTAATCACCAGAACCAAAAAAGAAAAAAAGACAGTAAATAAATGTAATCCAATGTATGCTTCTGGATCCAGCAATAATCAAAGCTAATTGAACAAACAATATGATGTTGTGGGAATATAGTCCCTATAGTAAGAAAGTCAGGTCAATAAGAGAAACATCCCGGATTAGATACACACTGGCATCATTAGTGACTGATAACAAAACAACACGAAGTTTAATTTCACCAATCATACCTCTATATTATCTATTTTGTTTAAATGATTAATAAAATTAGTATTCCAATATAAATTATTAAAGAGATATTTTAATAAAAACCAACACACATTCTTTTAAAATATAATTAATTAATTTCACTTTTTTCTTTCTAAATTAGTTATATAACTTCTTAGTTCTATATTTAGAATCAAAAGGAGTATATAATATTGAAATATAAAAATTTTCCCAAATTAACCGTGAGTCATAAAAATGTAATTTATTTCAAACCCCATGCAAAGTAGCATAAGATCAAAAGTGATTTTGTTTACTATCAATTTTTCCTTACCAAACAATTCTCCTTTGTATCAAAGGGACGCAAAAAATCATTTTAAATAAATAATTTTTTATAGGACATCACATGGCTTCTGTCAAATAATGGAACAATAAGAAGTGAGGTATTTTGCATGAAATATGAATTAAGGATAAATTATAAGAGTTAAAATAATTACAAATAAATAATTAGGAGGTAACAATAATAAACTTTTTTTGCTTAAACAACTTTTTCACATTACATAAATTAATGTGTATCAAGACAGTAGCTTTTATTAAACTATACTTCAATCTTTTTCCTCACATATTACATACTATGGTGATTTATAAGCGTCTCTTGAATTAGCCAACCTGTGCACAGGGTTATGGCTAGTTATACTTCAAATAAAGAAGTCACGTTTATAGTTAAGATTAGAGGAAAAACTTCATCAGAGCATATTTTGCTGATGGGTAGGGTAGAAGCTTTGCCCCAATCACTCCAAGCAAGGAGCTTAAATCCTACCAAGTTAGTGACAGATGCCTCAATTTTCTAGCCCCTTAGAAAGCATGTCCACATCAACTCGGGGTGCTTTTGTCCGGAAAAAGCTGTATATTGTACGTATACTAGGTTGAAGTGGCAACTTGGTGAGGGTATTTTTGTCAGTTCACTAGTTACATACTGTAGCTAATCTAAAAGTTAATCCCAACTATTCGTCAATTTGTTGGATTTTTTTTTTTTTTGGCGGGGAATTTTTTGGATCTTGTTAATACCGTCTTTTAACCAAAATAATGTAGCAACTTTATTTTAAAAGTTATAAAATCGCTTTTACACTGTTACGAATAATTGAATTAGCATGGAGGTGGATGGTGAAAGAGTCTTGGAAGTAAAATTTTTGGTGAGTTTGGATAGCACTTTCCAAATATCAAATATGCTTCTATAAAATTTCGAGATCAAGTATCTATTTGTTTTACTCATCAACTTCAAAAACGTAATCAATAACAGCAAAAACAAGACAAGTGAATGACAAATTTGTTTAGATGAATCAAGTTTAATATTAAGAGAAATATTTCATTTTGAATTCTAGGTAAACAGACTCAAAATCTTTTGTAAACCATATGTTTACTCAGCTAATTCCCTGGATTTCACGCCGTTGTTACACAAGGTCATATGTAGTTTATGTTTTCATCCATATAAAGAAAACAAGACTTCGAAAACGGATCATGATTATTAATATCGTAGAAACAATTCTCTGGTTCGTGAAAATTAAAGGAATATTCTCTTTTTTTTTGGGGATAAAAAATGTACCTCGGGATACTTCATGCTATAACTCAGTGGCTCAGTATATGATTGCGTCTTGCCTTGGCAAACTTTCACCCTGTACCTCGGAAGAAATACACAATCAGTTCCAACCAAGGAAGCAAAGCGAAATCAAATCAAAATCGCAACAATTGAACCGACACTGTTCATCTTTTTCTAATCTCTACCCACTCTTTTAACACGTCTCTGTTCCTATTTGCAGTCACTTAACATAAGTACGTTCATTTCTCTGTCAAGACCGTGAGGGCTTCAAATTTCATCTTTTGGCTCTTCAGAAGCCACGGTTTTAATTTATTTTCTACATTATATACGTTGAATAAAAAGGGTTTCTCTCTGTTTTATTTTTATTTTTATTTCCAACAAAATCCCCTTACTTTTATTTCTCACTCCGATGCTTCCTGGCTGCCCCATGATCCTCCCAACATAGAATCCCGCCATGACCATCCCTAAACCCTTTTGAGTTTTGATCTGTATGACCATGTCCCAAGGATCTCCTTCTCCTCCTCTTGTTTCTATCGAACCCTCTAACGGACCCTCGCCTGAACCCAATTCTCAAGGCCCTATATCTGATTCCCACAACGACGTCGTTCCAACGTCCAAGGAGGAAACCGCCGCCGCTCCCACCACTACCAGAAGCAACCGCCCGTCTCGCGCGTGCACCATTCGAGCTTCTTCTCGTCTCTACTCTCAAACGCAGCCGGCGACAGACCGGCGACTCAAAGGTTCGAAGAAGGAGCAGCGGCTGCCGGAGGACTCGCCGGAGCAACAGCAGCAATGTAGCAGGATTGTAACACCGCTTGTGGAACCACCATCACCTTCGCAGTTGCCTCGGTGGAACCTGAGGTCTATGTGGGAGTTAGCTTCCATACTCAATTTCTTGCATGTGAGCTGGAAAGCTGTGATCTTTGCTATTGACTTGCGTTGATGGACGTTGTGATTATGTATGCAATGATTTGGAGCTCACGTATTTGCATTGCCTGCTGTTGCAGGTATTTAGACCTCTTTTGAATATCTCAGCAGAATTCTCAGCCGAAGAGTTTGAGACGGCTCTCCTTAACCCCAATGACACATTGAGTGATATACATATGCCCCTGCTAAAGGTTGTTGCTTTAGTTTTTGGGACTGTGGGTCAATTCTTCTGGTTTCTTTTAACTGTATTACATATTTCCTTTAGTAATTGAGGTTCTAACCTGTAACGATTATGCTAGTTTAATACTCCCCCCCCCCACCACGTTTACTTCTCTGAAGTATGATAAACATTCCATCAGAGTCTCCTTCTGTTTTATGTTAAACTTACTAATTTTGCATTATATAACCTTGTACCTGTCACTTTAAATTATTGTTTGATGCTGGTTTAGTTGATCGCTAAACTATGAGATGGAACAAACATAAGCTCATAGGAAGATGTGATGTCTCTAAGAATATATAATGACTTAGCCAGACATATGCTCTTATCTAACTTAAATGGTAACATGAACATGAATACTTGCCATGTGTTCTGGGAATATTTTTATTGCAAAAATGAAAACTTGGGTAAATTTTTATGTCAATGGGTCATGCCCATGTGAGAAACTTGAGGGACACCCAAAGCTTGGCTGAAGCATCTTAATATTCTGAATGCAATTTAGTTTCATAGGCAATCAATCTTTCTTCCAAGACAATAATGTGTATTTCAATGCTGGAGAGTTTATAGGAAGGGTTAATAGTCTTTATTAATAAATTTACCAAAAGGAAAGGTCAACGTGGAAAAAGAACTGAAGTTTTTGGGACACTATTTTGTTACCTGATTCGTACTGCAAAAGTGCTAATTTTCTGACTTGAAGAGTTGAAGTCTTAAACTATCGCTCTATGACAGATTGAAAGAGTGTGCAAAGTACCATGCATTGAAAAATTTCAATACTGAAATAAGTCAGTGATTACTTGGAGGTAGGATAGCGTATGATCCATGTTTTAATGGGTTAGATACAAAGTCGAGCTATTCTGTAATGATAAAGATTACTGTATAGTTAGAAGAAGAGGAAGAAGGGAGAGTAGAGAGGTAGTTAGAGGAGGAGAAAAAAGAGAGACAGAGGTGAGAGAATTTGAGATAGAATGAGGAATCCAATTATAGTGATCAAACCTAACTTTGCAATCAACTACCCGTACCCTCATATAGACCACTATAGGCCAATGTCTACTAACTACCACACCCCCTAAATAACTTCGCGCACATCTATTAATGTCACATCATAATCAAAGCAGTGGTGATACTTGAACTGCTATACAGCTAGTTGTTTGGTTGAGTATTGTATCAACTTTAATCTTGCAGATGTCACTAGTAAGTGGATAGGTAGCTAGATTGAGGGGGTGATATATAGACATGTAGAGGGGGAGAGTAAGGTAACTCTGTTAAATGCTATTGATTTTACTTCTTGCAGTTCCAAATTTTGCAAGAGTGTTTGGAGTTGTCTTTTCTTGTGAGTTTTTAATACATAGTGTCATTGACTCCCTGTCTCAATGTTTATGACTTCATGGCACTAGAAAATGTATGCTTTCCACTTCACAACTATGCATGTTTGCAAAAATGCAGCTTGTCTATTTGTAACGTCAATAATCTATTAAATCTTTTGATAGGCAATCCCTCCCATTACACGAATGGCACTCACACGTGATACCTGGATAACCATATTATGCAGAAAATTGAGAGATTGGTGGCATTGGGTAATGATATAACTTTTCAGCTAGCTGATATTAGAGAATAATGTGAATTCTGTGGTTTGAGAGCTGATACAAGGGTCGGGATTTAAACGCAGGTTGCAAATGGAGAACTTCCTATTGTTGCTTCACATGGGTAAGCAGGGCTCCTATATCAAATAATTTATTATGTTAATCTACATGTTATCCAAAGCCTCAGATTATGCTAGCATGACAGGCTGGAAATTGAGGCATACAAATCACTTGATCCTGGGGTTCGTGTGGTCATCTTAAAGGCATTATGTGACATTCGTGTTGAGGTACTATTATTGTTAATTTGTCTTGGGTCTATATCTTATACCTTTTTATCTCAAATTGGTGGACTTTGAAGTTCAGGGCACTGCTCAGTATGAGCTTGAATCCTGTTTAGTTATCATGCAGGACCGTCCATTGAGCACAGAATTGAGTTCCATTTTGTCCTATGCATGGCATTGTCCTCTTTTATCTCAATTTAAGCTTATTTTGTCCTGCCCCCTATTTTTTTCACATCAAGCAGAGTATGCTTCACATAGTTGCATTAATATTTATTTTTGGAGGATCGGTAATCTTTGTTTAATTTGACTTCCTTTTCTTTTGGGGAGGGGTGAGAAAGGTGCATCCCATCACAAACTATTTTGAGGTTTCCGTGAACTGTTATATTTCGTATGCTACTGTAGCTTGATATTGTTCCACTTTATTTATCTGTTTTACTAACCAACCAATTTCACAAACGATCAAACTTGGATGAAATTTTGCAGCAAGAAGATATTCGAAGTTATATTGACAACTCACTCAAACATGGCATTCAACTTTCATCATTTCGTAAAGATCGTATTGGGGGTGATTCACATGGAATTTTTTATTGGTAATACACTAGTACTTTTCAAAATCTGAAGTTTTTTGTTTCAACAATTGAAATTTTGAAAATATTATGTTTGGAAGCTACTTTTCTTGCTTTTTTTGTTGTTGATTTTATTCATTGGCATTTGGTTAGTGCAGGTATGAAGATGACCCCATAATTGGCCATAGGTTGTATCGGGAAGTAAGGAGAACTGAAGTGATTCAAATGAGGAAAGGGAAATCAAAAGGTTCCCAGGTCAATTCAAGTACAACATATCAGTGGGAAGCGGTTGCTACTAATTTTGATGAATTTGTAGATGTCACTGTAAGTCATTGAAGCCTGTCTATGTTTGTGTTTCTGAGTAACCCAATAACAGTGGGTATGTTCAAGTAATTGTTGAGTGGAATTACATGATATTGTTGTTAATTTGAATAATCTGAAATTTACTTATAGTCCCAATTGAACTTTGTTCAAGTAGAAAATTTTATTTTATTAGAAAATTCAAACTAAATATCTTGTTTGAATTACAAGAATGTTTTAATCAGAAAATCGGACCCTACTTATAGTTAAAATTAAAATGATAACCCTGATTGTTCAAATCACTTAATAAAAGAAAACACAGTATGCTTACGTTTGATATTGTTTCAATCTTCTTTTATTCTCCATTACCATTTCTTCTGGCTGCTGAAAATTAATTATAGTCTTTTGAAGTCTTGATTAGAGAAAAAAAGGTTGACTTTATCACTGAACAACTCATTCTATGTTAGTTTTATAGAATAGACCAAAATACAAGAAACATGACAATTTTGCAGATGACCCTTTGCCGTGTTTAATGGGGTGAAATGCCTTTAATTATATCATTTTATGATTGCAAAGAATATCCTCATGGGTGTAAGAAATTTTGATAGCTTGTCAAACGAGCTTCATCCTGAAATCAAATCAAGGCAGTAACTATGGTTTTGCGGGAAAACATTTTAAATGTCTGCATTAGTATAAATTTACTAAGCCATTTTTTTGTGATTTTGGGTTAATAGCTTTTTGACTTATGCTGTACTATCTTCAATAATATGAACCAAAAAGTTATTACTTTCTGAGGTTATTACTTTTGATTCACACAAACATCTTTAGGATATTACTTTTGATTCATAAACTAATGTGATAGGCTTTTATATTGTTCTTTTATGTCTTCAAAAGAATTTTTGAACTTAAATAGTGCAATTTAGCTTTTGTTGATAGCTTCTGAGTAACATGGCTACTACATTTATCTCGTTTTTGTTCAAAAGTTTCCAAAATTTATGTGAAGGGTTATTTCAAATCACATTTTTTTGTGCGCACGTCTATATATCATGTTTTCCCTTAATTATGTCCCTTTGATTTACTTGAGTGAGCACCTTTCTAGTACCTCGCCTTTTGCCTTTGACTGCCTTGGATTAAACTTAGCTTCCACCATTATTTAATGGGGTTATCTTTGACCAACATTATTAGAATATTTCGATGAGGAAGCTCTTAGCATGATTATATTTGTTTATAGGGGCGTGTGTGTGGATGTATATATGCCTCTTTTTCACCCCCAAGATTGTGGAATCTAGCTTATTTTACGTTACATTGAGCTGCATCTTGTTTGAATTTGCTCAACTTTATACACAGGATAAGCTTTTCTCTAGCAAAAACAAAATGGAGATGTTGCTAGGGAAAAAGTTGAAGATAGACATGCTTCCTGAGATTGAGAAGGTTCAAAAGGTACTCATTTGTGTATTTTTGTAAGTATGTATTTCCTGATCTTCATTTTGGTGAGAAAATGAGAATACGATGGCATTCTGAGAATCAATGAAGGGTCCTGGGTTGTCCTGTCTTTACCTCCATTGCCCCTTCTAGTGTCTTTCTATCTGTGTTTAGTCATATAACTAATACTAAACTGTTTGTATTCGCTATGTCAACAGAAAAAAGAGCGATTGCTGAAAAAGCAACAAAGAGAAGCTCTTCTTCTTGATAATTTCTTGGTTGCTGATGGGATTGGTCCTGGGCGGTCACTTCGTGGTAGGAAACCTGTTACCTACACATTTGGTAAGAACAAGCAAGCTTAAACCCATTGTTAGTGGTGGCAGCATTAAAATTGTATTGGTACATGATACTGGTTGCTGATGCTTGTATTAGAGGTGTTATACTTTATGAGTTGTTGCCTGTCATTCTCCTAGTGTTTACCATTTTAATAGCATCATGTTATCTTTTATCTTATTTAACCACACTTAATTTTTGTAAATATGTTGTTTTGGGTGTGTATGGGTCTTATATACTGTTTATTGCATGTGGCATAAGATTTGGGTGTGATAATTCAATCTGCGCCGTTCTTAATTTAAACATTTCTTCCTCTCTGTGGGCCTGAGGGCTGTTAATATGGGGTTACTATTCTTCATGGGACTTAGCGGATGGTAGGTTTCTGTTTTTGGATCACAAGCCATCTGATCTGATGAATGTTTCGCGGTGATTCTCTTTGGGACTTAACCAATGGTATGATTCTTTTTCAGCATGATGGCAGCTTCATGCATTGGCATTCCATTTTTTTTTTTCATTGATATCAAACTAGTCACAACCTCATGCATTGCACAGGTTGACTAATTCAAAAGACACAAATTTAAGTAATGATAGTATAGTTCAGACAATTATAACCACCTGATTACCTTTTTTTTTTTTGGCTTTTTGGATGTATTCAATTATCTTGTTACAAAATACCTTATGGGATGAAGGTATTCTAATGGCGGATTGACATAAATGTCATTGCAGATGATTATGATCGGTCCATCAATGAGGCAATTAAGATGACAAAGTATGGAACTCATCTTAGCCGTTTCCACCCTTCCTCTAGCTGCTTTTCATATGTTTATGTTTGAGTTCTTTTTTTATCTTTTTTTGGGGGGGAGAAGGGAGTCAATCATACACATCTGTACTTGGTATTCATGACTTTATCTGCTTTCTCCTTTGTCAGACGGAAACAACCATCCCCAGAGCCTATAACCAGGAGAGAAGTAGGTGAAAAACCTGAAGCTTTGACTAACGGTAAATTAAGTGGGCCTTCACATGCCCCTCAACATCTGAGCTTTGGTATGCCATCTCCAAATTCGCCTGACATTGATGATGACGAGGAAGAGCTTAAATCTGAACCATTGGATCGAAGGTTTGTCTCTTCTGTAAATTTGTTCTGGTCCTTTGTATCTGATCTTCATTGATTGACTTGTTTTCATGGCAGCAACCGTCGAAGACAAAGACCTATGCGGTATTCAGAGAAAGAGTTTGTTGAAGCAATTTCAGATAATGAGGCAGACTTTGACAGTGATGATGATATTGTTGGAGAAGCTGTATATGATGAGGAATATCTCAGGCAACGTAAGCAAAGAAAGGTTTCTAGTAGCTCTGAAGGAGATGAAGAATATCAGTGGGATGAAGACCATGTTGAAGAAGATGATCAGGAATATTCATTGAGTACCAGTGAGGACAGCGGCCAGCCCCGAAAATTCAAGCCTTTGGTAGGCCGTACTAGGAGGGAAACTAAACTCCAATCTGTTGGTGAGATTCAATCAGGTCTACGACGCAGTAAAAGGGTTACCCGAAACCGAATAAACTACAGACAGTATGTGGTGTCAGATTCAGAAACAGAATCTATAAAACCTAACAAGTCTAATGCCACAGATGATCATTCAGATCCCAGTGAGAATGAGAACGGGGAATATATGATGGAAACGGAAACTGAAGATTCAGATGCTGGTGAAGATGATGAAGAGCAAGAGGATGTACAGGAAATAGACGTAGATAAGCCTATTGATTTTCCTGTAGAGGAGAGAGAACAAAACCCACCGCCTGAAAATCTAAACCGTCCCAGTCAGGAGGATGTAGAGGGCATGAACAAAAGACACTTCCTCGATTTAAATGAGCTTGCCCCTTGTGCGGGTTTTGAAGACTGTCCAAACTCGGTTATGAAAGATGAAAACAATGATTACTGAAGCTTCCCCTTCTTGAACGCAGATATTGTAGTCTTCCCGATCAAGGAAACATGTATGAAAATATTATTATAAATTTTGTTGCAATCCCTAACGTTTCTATCAGATCACATACAAAGGCATAATCTGAGCAGCTACCATGATGCGTGATTTTCCACCTGAAGCAGCATGATGGTGAGTTGTGTAGAATAGTTGGTCATTTTTAGTATGCCTACATTCAAAAGATCAATGAAAATGAATGACAATGAGAATTTGCTAGGTGTTATTCAGCTCCATCCTGGCAATGTACTATAACTAGTATTGTAACTTCAGAGATATGGCTTATTGGATCACCGAGCCATGTAATTCTATTTTTCTTGAACCATGTAGTAATCATCAGCTCGAGTTCATCAGCACGTGCTTTTGATTGGCTTTGTCGATGATCTGATCAGGTAAAATCTGAAGCCTTCATTCATTTTGACGACGCAATTGCTTCTAATGCTCCAATGGTTTCAGTATTGTTTCTGAAGTGCTATGCTCGCTGAAGTCGAGACGCTTTACACATGTTTGGGTTAAAATTAATTTCAAGTGATGTTAAAAGAGATATATAATTTTTCCCGAGTGAGTTTGGTCTCTCTCTCTTTTTTAATTTATATAATATAAAATTTATAAGAACTTTTATTATCCCTACAACAACAACAAGTTTTTATCCCACTAGGTGGTGTCGGCCACATGGATTGTAAAACGTCATTGTGTTCTATCATTTATCAAGCTTTTAGGAATTTTAATTAAGAGATCACATTTAACAATTTTCAAGAGTATTCTTTTAGGCTTTTCTCTATCTCTACTAACAAGGCTCAATTATATGTTGCACTCTTCTCATTAATGTCTCCCGCAGTCTTCTTTGTACATATCAAAATCATCTCAAATGATTTTTTATCATTTTTTTCTCAATAGGTGCTATCTTTATTTTTTTGCGTACGTATTCATTTTAAATTTTATCTTTACGTGTATGTCTATACATTCATCATAACATTCTCATCTCTACTACTTTAAATTTATGCTCTTACTGTCCCGTTAGAACTCAGCATTTACCACTATATAATATAGCCAATCTGATAGTAATACGATAAAAGGTTCCTTTAAGTTTATTAGACACCTTACGGTCGCAAATAACTCCTTTAGTTTTTTTCCAATTAAACCACCCAGTTTGAATCCTAAGTAAAATATTCCCACTGATTTTGCCATCATTTTGAATAATTGCTTTTCCTGTTGCTGAATTGACTGCGAACTCAGGGTTAGCTTAGTCAATTCACTCTTTTTTTTTTTCAGAAGCTGGGATTGGACCCTTCTCAACCAAGAAAAGGGAAGTTAGGAATGACTCATTGAGATGATATTTGCCATAAAAGATATGGTAAAACCATTGAAGGATATATATACTAGGTATATCCCAGATATCACTGAAATTCCCCTTAAATAGGGAATTGAGTGGTTACCCTCGTGGAAAGCTTCTCCTTCGAAACGTAAGCTCTCGAAGGACTAGAAGGGATCCCTATTCACAATGTTACACCATGAGCTTGAAGCTTTCATCGCGTACATGCCTGACCAATCATCATTTGAACTGTTTGGCTCGACTTCCAAATATCTAAACTTTTTCACATGAGATATAATTTGATCTCTCAATTTCACTTTCAAATTACTGTCGACTAGTCTCTTACTAAATTTATAATATAAATATTCTATCTTACAGACAGAAACCTTTTGACTTCAATGTCCTCCTCCATAACTCAAATTTACAATTAACCTCCTTTCTTGTTTCTACTATAAGAACTATATCACCCGCGAAGAGCATATATTTGAGATTTTTTTTTGAATATATTCCGTCAAAACATTTAAGATTAAGTTAAACAAATAAAGATTCAAAGATGATCCCTGATGTAGTCCAATCTTTATAGAAAAGTCTTTTATTTGACCACTAAACGTTCTTATACTAATATTTACCCCCTCATACATATTTTGCATGACTTTAATATAAGTAATCCGTACTCTCTTCTTTTCCAAGACTTTCCAAAGCACTTCTCTTAATATGCAGTCATAAGCTTTTTTCAAATCAATAAAAATCATGTGTAAATTCTTATCTTTACAATGATATTTTTTCATTAAGTCCTTTAATAAATAAATTGCCTATGTAATCGATCTACCTGACATAAAACCAAACTGATTTTCAGAAATACTTGTTTTCAATCTCAACTTATGCTTAATTACTTTCTCCCACAATTTCATTATGTGGCTCCTAAGTTTAATTCCTCTATAGTTAGTGCAATTCTGAATATCCTTTTTTTATAAATAAGAATTAATGTACTTCTCCTCCACTCGTCAGGCATTTTTTTGGACTATAAAATCATATTAAATAACTTAGTTAACTATCTCACCTCTTCTTCACCTAAACATTTCCACACTTTAATAGATATACAATCAGTTTCGTTGGCTCTACCATTTGCCATTTTCTTAAGAGCTTCTTTTACCTCCTTATTACGTATTATTTGATAGAATAACAAATTTTGTTTTCCTTCACGAGTTACTAAATCCCCCAAGTTATTAGACGAACTCTCTCCATTATTGAAAAGTTTGAAAAAGTACATCTCCTATCTATTTTTAATTTTATCATCTGTAACTAAAATTATTCCCTCTTCATTCGTTATACACCTTACTTATTCTAAATCTCTTGATTTTCTTTCTTTACTCTTAGCAATCTTATAAATATTTCGTTCTTCATCTCAAGGCTCTTATAAAATTCTTCAAAAGTTTTAGAACGAGCTTCACTCGCAGCTCTTTTAGTTTCATTCTTAGCCATACGGTACCATTCCCAATTTTTTTTATTGTTACATAAATGTATGGCTTTAAAATAGTTCTTCTTATGTTTGATTTTATCTTGTACACTATTATTTCACCACCAAAACTACTTATCTCTTGGACCAGATCCTTTTGATTTTCCTAAAACTACTTTTGCAATCTCCATTATCTTTTTAGCCTTATCCTCTCACATGATATTAGCACTTCCCTGAGATTCTCAAATTCCTTTGTCCAAAAGATTCCGCTTGAAAATATCTTACTTCTTATCTAATCCTTAGTGCTACTACTTATCAACATTTTTGAATTTTACTCATAATACACACATCAAGGATAAGGACCCTATGTTTTGTTGTTATAGCATCTTCAGGAATCACCTTGTAATTTTTACAGAGTCTTCTATCTGTGTTCCTAACCAAAAGAAAATCAATCTGTGACCTTGAGGCTCTACTTTTATAAGTAATGAAATACTCATCTCTCTTCTTGTAACAAGTGTTGACAATTTTAAAATCATACACCAATGAGAAATCAAGAAAAGTTTGTCTTTCATTGTTTAGCTCTCCAAAACCAAAATCACCATACACCCTTGCATACTAACCAACCTCCCTGCCGACATGCCCATTAAAGTCTCCTCCAATAAAAATTTTTTCACTCTGTGATATGTGTTAAATCAACCCCTCCAGGTTCTCCCAAAAAATTCCTTAAAACTGACTTCTGTCCCAACTTGAGGTGCATAAGCACTAACAATATTAATAGTCTTACGTCCAACTATCATTTTCAAGAAAAAAAATTCTATATCCAATTCTGCTAACTTCTACAACGTTCTTCTTCCACTCCTTATCAATAATGATGCCTACTCCATTATGTGTGCTTACTTTTCATGTATACCAAAGTTTGAAACCTTGAATATCCTTAGCTTCTTCTCCATGCCATTTTGTTTCTTGCAAGCATAGGATATTAATTTTCCTTTAAATCATAACCCCTACAACCTCTACAGATTTACAATTCAATATTCCAACATTTCAAGTATCAAATCTAATCTTACTCTCATGGACTAACCTCTTTAGCCGCGCACGTCCAGAATGATGCAGTAGCTTTTGCTCATTTAACACTACATTTGAGTGCTGATGCAACGGCTCTAACTCACTTATCACTATACTCGAGCCATGCAGCGCATTACTTACGAGCAACAACCTAGCATTAACATTATAATGTCTATTGTCCATGTTCATAATAAATTCAACAAAGTTTTACGTTGGCTATTGATGGCCTAACACAACCCTTCTCCTTTACCCGGACTTGGGACCGACTATAAACATAGGCAACACTTTTACTATTCCTAACATGCAAATAATGTGTCTTATTTCAAATTTCTTGCAAAGCACAAGTCATGTTTGCCTTCATCTAAAGTTGATGTGAATGATTATACTTGTCCCATGTGGTGCAAGTTGTTTTATCAATATTTGTCAAATGGACTCGAGTATATTTAAATAATATTTTTTATTGAATATGTAAATTATTTAGTAAATTATTTTTTATTTTAAAAAATTGTTCTCATTTATTTAAAATAAAAATTGAATAATTTTGTCGGTGAAAATGTAAACTTAAGAATATCTTTATAATAGTCTTGCTTGAAATATGTATGCACGCGCGCGCGCACAATATTTCATAACATGCTTTCCAAAGCAGTTAAAGGATAAAAATATGCTAAAACTTTTTCTCCAATAACGTCTACTATCTTAAACTTTTTTGAAATATTTTTGCTTTAAAAGTTTCAAAAACAAAGCATTTTTACTTCATTGTTAAAAATGGTAAATGTTGACAATTAAATTGAAATTTGACCAAGAATATTTTTGTATTTTTTCCTCCATCCTTTCGTGTTTAGTTTACAATTTTGTTCTCTAGTGAATTTTTTAACTTTCTTCTTCCAATGAATGAAAATGAAGACCGAAAAACGTAGAAATGAAGGAGAGCAAAATGATAAAATATCCTGTTCAAATTTTAGTTAACGGTTAACGTTTGCGATTTTTAATTGTGGGGCAAAAATGCACTGTTTTTAAAATTTTTGAGGCAAAAATGCTCCTAAAAAAAGTTTAAAATGTTAGACACCCTTGAAAAATAAGTTTCAGCATCTTTGCTATTTAACTCTTTTCAAAAGGGATGGTTTTGCAATGAAAAGAAAAGGTGGACCGTAACAGAAAACATAATGGGAAGTGTTTTTATCTTGATATCTTTATATTAATAATAAATTTTTTAAAGGAATGGCTGTCTATTCGAGTGATAGCACCACTTTTCTTACTTGGAAAAGATAAATTTGAATTTAATGTAGACATGCTACATGTTTGCCTGGGTATATGAGTCTCATTTTTCTATTAGGGGTAAATTTTTTTAAAAAATAATAATAAAATTTATAATAAATGCAATTATTGATAAATTTATAAAGAATAAATAATACCATTTTAACTGCACAATTTTGCTGCATTGCAATGTCCAGGTTGTCTAGGTCTTATATCTACAACAATATCTATACCTGTCACATGCAAAATGAGCAAGTTCTTATCTACTA